TGTTTCAGAAAAGGTGAGCTTTCCCATCCTCACTATCAGTCAAGGATCATCGAGAACGACTTTGTTCGATCCATTCGAAAGGTCTGTCCAGTACCTCCACCTGATTGTTATGAGGACAGCTCAGAGCATGATTTGAAGAGATTTTTCATCAATGATGACCGCATCGTTTATTTGGATGACAAGTATCAGGTCGATCCAAAGACCCTTGAAAGGGCAGAACAAGCTCGAGCAGATTTGGAGGATACAAAGAATCAACTTAGAGAAGAACTGGAAGAATATGGTCCTAAGGGACCTAGTTGGGACTTTGTCACCTTCTATGAAGAGCTGTGCCAAAGGTTCCTCAAAGGAAGAATAGAAGAACAATATGGAACTAATTTATTGGCCAGCTCAGAGTCATTGACATTTTTATCCTGGAACTATGGAAACCTGGTTCGTGGTCAGAAATACACCACACCAAAGTTTCTCCAAGGACTTGATCGTGCAATGAAGCCACGCAAGCAGAGTGCCATGTCACTTCAATATGAGCAATTTGAAAACAACCTTTTCTTCAACACGCTCTTCTTTTTACGTGCACATGTCGTGATTCTCCAGGAAGCTCATCTCCTTGTTCCTGCCAAGGAATTCATTGAGCAAAAGAATTGGACAGTTTGTTTCAATGATTGGGAGAATCTTGCAGTGATGGCTAGATTGGCACCAGATGGCTATATCAAGATCATTGCTGGACATGACCAAGACCTTGGTCACTGTCAACAGCGTGATGTAACTTGGGCTATCTATGAGATTTGTTTTGGAGAAACAAGGCCTCGTCAGGACTTCAAGGATGCAGACAATGAATTTGAGGACTATGGTCCTAAGGAACAGCGTGTTCCACTTACTCGAGCGAACATGCATACCATCAGAGTCTGTAATTATCATGTTGATACACACCGTGCTGTGGATGCCCACCTATTGACAGGAGAACAGACAGCATTGATGCTGTATGAGTGTTTTGTATATGAGGTGGACATCATTTCTGGTGATGCAAATAGTTTGGCCTACAGAATGTCTGGATACAAAAGGCAGCCAATGGCTAACTATTATTACAGCACCATGCAGCATTGGATCCGCAAGTTTTCAGAAGCCCGTGTAAAAGCAGATCCTGGTATCAAAGCACCTATTCCCAGAACATTTTACAGTTCATCTTCACTGGTCCTCAAGCAGTGTGAAGATTACTTTGAGAAACTCTGGGAAGAATACTCTGCAGAAGAGAAAGAAGTATACCAGGGATCAAAGCTTGGCGATACATGTTTGTCTACCATTGTTGAATGGGGTCATTCAATGAGTGGAGAGGAATATTCAAATTCCACAGTGAGCACGAAGGAGTTCATCTGTAATTTTTCAGAGAACTTTTGCTTTGATTGACACGGTTATGTGCTCAAAACCCTCTGACGATGACAGTCATGGTCCTATGTTTATTTCACTCAGACCAGCTTCCTTTTCATCTGGAGACAGAAGGCTTTATCGCTCGGGCGAGACTCTTCGAGATGCTAACTTGCGAAGGAAGGAGAGGCAGAAAGAGAATAAAAGGAAAGGAAGGCCGCCAACTTCTGATCAAGCAGCTTCATCGACTGCAGCGGCAGGAACTCAGAGCGGAGGCTAAAATTTAAATGATGGCTAGGAAGTGAAGATACTTCTGATCACAGTAGATACTTTGCTTCCAGTCTTGACTTTAAGTTGCCAGGCTGAAGTTTTAATGAATCCTGGTTTGCAACAAGGAGAAACTTTTTATCAAAGAAGATACTCCTGCATTCCAGGTTTATACGCTTTAGCATGCAGATAAATACAGTTTACTAAACGGTTATTATCTGCAGGTAGGTATGGACAGTTTTTCAGAACTGATGATAACTACCATAGCCGCTCTTCTGAAATGACCTCTAATGGACAACCATTCATGGTTGATAATTAAGTCATTTTATGAGTTTGCATTTGTAGTGCAAGATTTTGTACATACATTTGCCGGTATCTCCCTTCCTTTTTGTTTTTGGCTGATTTTGGTGTCAATGTGAGAGAGTCCTTTTGATGCAGTTCCATTTTGATTTAAGTCCTGTGTATGGAAGCGGCCGAGACCACTTTTAGAGAAGAACATTCCTCGGACCGAATAACTTACGCTCCTTGCATTTTGCAAGGCATTTTAATTCATTGCATTTCGTGCGGTCTTGAATTTTTAGTTCTTCGTTACGCGAGTGTCGTTTACTGCCTTTATAGGTCTCTGTGCAAGGAAGCCGCTTTCCCTTGAATTTATAATATCTTTAGAGCTCTAGCTATTTAAGGGCTATTGAGCGCCGGTACATGGTATCTTCGCCGGTGAACGATACAGTCTCCAGCCGAGATACATTGTCTATGACTTTGTATTTGAGGTGAGTAAGCTATCGCTCCCTCACTGTATTTAGTATACCTAGAGATTACCTTTTCTAAAGTGTGCAACACACTGGAATTGGTAAGTACAGGGCACCGTGGTTTCCTTTTTAAGCTTACTAGAGCTTGCTGGACTGTTTTAGCCTTGCGGTAGAAAAATAGTGTGCGACATACGCAATAGGCAGGAGTGGACATGAATTTTGTGCCTGCTGAAATGTAGAGGCCTACTTGTACAGGTTCCACTCCAGTGGCCTATCTAGTGTGTCCATGCTTGACTGCCATAAGGCCCAAGAGGATAAGACTCTGCGCATAAAAGACACTAGCGGTCTGCACCTCAACCGTGTACGCCCTAGTCACTCTTTCACCCCCCCCTCCCCTCCTCCCCTCTCTCCTCTCCCCTCTCCCCTCTCCCCACCCCACCTCCCCTCTCCTCCTCCTTGTCTTCCTCCCACCTTCCCTCCCTCCCTCCCTCCTCCCTCTTCGCAAGTTCGACTCCGTCCTGTCGTCGCTCTTTGGCATGCGGTTAGCGTTGCGTATCTTGCGGCCGCACTCGCTCACTCTCACTGTCTCACTGTCTCACCGTCTGTCTCACTGTCTCACTGTCTCTCTCTCTCTCTCATCTCTCTCATCTCTCTCATCTCTTTCTCATCTCTCTCATCTCTCTCTCCTCTCTCTCTCTCTCCTCTCTGTCTCTCGTCTTTCCGTCTCTCTTCTCTCTCTTCTCTCGCAGGAGGATCCGGGCAAAGAGCCACATAAAAAAGGACTCTTCACCCCTTCCTCCAAAAACAGCGCCGTGTTTTTTCCTACCTCGCTGCCCTCCACTTTCCCATTCTGGAGCGCTAGCTTTCGCCCGCCCCCTTGGCCTCAAGTTCCTCTCACTGCGGGGGCACTGACGGCCCCTTCCCGAGTGCACTGTTGGTGTAACGGCCCGCCGCGGCCTGCCTGTCCGCCTCAGTGTTGCACCCGGGACTTGAACCATCCGACGCCGCAGGGGCAGGATGTCATATCCGGGGCGTCTACCCACTCGGCCATACCAGACCCTGAACCATTGCGTCGGTGGTTACTGAGCCGTACTAGGCACCGTGAGACAGTGCATGTAGCACACTCCAGTTTCTGCCAAGTCTACAAACGACAAAGAGACCCCTTTGCACACTCGCACGCACACACACACACACACAAGCACAAGCATGCAAGGCGTGATTCATGTGCAAAGGAATGCAATGCAAAAGCAGGGTAACAGGTATGCCATCGTGAAGGCGTTTGAGCACAACACCATCACTTTGATGTGCCAAAGGATGTGCCTTTACGGCTTTGGAGTGGGATAGGCTCAGTGAAGACGTCATCCGGGATGTTTTATGATATGCAAATATATATATATATATACATGTATATAACTATATAATTACTGTAAGTTGAAGTTCTACTGATTTGCTTGGGGCTGTGGTCAAGCAACATTTGGGGTTTTGTGTCCCAGGCGAAAAGTGGCAAGAAGAGAAAAGAGGATTCCAAGAGTATAGAAGAACAGAAAAAGGACAAAAGAGCAAAGAAGATGAGCTCCCTCAGCAAGATCCAAGATGGAAGCCCTTCCGCAAGCAGCAAGATGAAGTCAGTCACCGACTGCAATATGCCAAACATCAATTGGTATGATGCACACAAGGGATGGATGGTATCGTTTCCGAAGATTACGAAAAAGGGCACAAAGACTTCCGGGAAGACTTCGAAGCTCTTCACCATCCGGAAGCTGATGAAAAAGATCAATTGCTCAGAGGAGGTGGCCATCACCAAAAAGCTGGCCGAGGCAAAGAAATTTCGGCAGCAACTAGTCCAACAACAAATTCTGAAAAAGGCACCGAGAGTTCCACAGACCTTGGACTGAAATTAGCCAGGTCCAACACCAACATGGGTCACAGTGACAGAACCGAAGCTGTGAGTGCGACTCCAGCGGACCAGAAAATAGGCCGAGGGAAAGCCCAAATCGTCGCTCTGTGTTGACTTGACACATGTCCTTCTGCGTTCGCTCTTTTTCCCTGCAGACTTGATGTTTTGCGCTCTGTGAATTTGCAGGGATTGCCATCTGGCTATGACCGGCCAGTGATTCTGCATCGTGCAATTCTGGGCTCTGTAGAGCGAATGGCCGGAGTGCTGTGTGAGGGCCTCGAGCGCGATGCTCGAGGATACCAAAACAGTATACAGACATATAAAGTTGGTTTAAAGACCTATACCGTGTACTGTGTATATCTAGAATTTCCAGAGCTCATCGTCTCGTAGGTGCATGTTTTTGGTCGTCTTGTGTTCCAATGGCTGCGCAATCTCAGGTGAGCATTTCGTCAGAACCTTAGCCGCCTTAGCCTTCCTTCAAGTTGTCACTTGCGATCCGGACCACTTACCCTCACGTTTATTCCTGCGGGGCTATGCCATGCGCAGCATTTCAAGCTGGGCTCCATGACTGATGCAATCAGGGACCTGCACAACCAAGAGCGTTTCGAAGCAAGTGCTGCGGTTTCACCACCAAGCTCAGCACCCATGCACTAGTGATATGTATATAGTAGTGCATCCGTTTGCATTCTTAGAGCCTTGGTTGAGTTCCTTGCCAATGGAAAGTTTGGATGGCCGAGCCCCAAGCACCTGCGGAGGCTTACTTATTATCTTTAGTCAGCCCATGGGTAGACAGGCTTGGAGTTTTTACCCCTTTTAGAGGGAGTTTTGCAATCCCCTGAGAACTGATGAGTGGCATGCTCGCTCAGAATATGACCTTTCACACAGCTGGGCGGAATTCGGTGCATGTCCAGCCTACAACATCGGCTTTAATTGTTATTGTTCACAAGCATATGCCAGCGCCAAACCCGTCCCAGAGAGGATTCTGCATGCAGATTTGTTGAACTTTCTGCTCTTTGGTGTGCACTTCGGATTTGCTTGTTCTCACTTTGCCACATTTTTGTTCTCCAGATTGCTCCGGGAGTTCTTGCTTGCGAAGTGCCCGGGTGTGGTGTGGCTGCCTTCGCAGCCAAAGACTTCCAGCGTGGTGATATTGTGCGGCTTGGCGATGTCACGTATCGCATTGAGCAAAGGGCATCGCTACTAGGAGCAAGGACGCTACTAGGGGCTCCTGGCCCCACTACTAGGAGCAAGAAGCTATTAGGAGCAAAGGGCATCGCTATTGGGAGCAAGAAGCTACTTGTCCCAACAGAAAAGGAGTGTGGAAACGAATGTGAGTGGGGACCACGAGATCCCCAGACAGATGGTAACAGATGTGCTGCCATGAATATTAAAACAAAAACATAGGTATATATCTATATAATAAAGAACACACGGCATCCGAATCCAATCCACCAAGGTTACAAGAACAAGCAATTTTTATCAGTGCTGTGGACACGCCCAGTCGTCGCAATGAAGAGATCTACAAAGCATTGCCCCTGGACATGCGATTGCAACATTTAAAAGTGAGATTGTATCATGAACCTTTTGACATTCAATCTTGGGATATGTTTAGACTAGGTTGGAGGCCATCGCTATTAGGGAGATCGCTATTAGAAGATATACCTGATACATCCTGATACTGTATATTTATATATATATAGTTTCTGTTGTAAGTCAGGTCAAACCGACCGAAGCCGCACCACACAAGGCTGGCAGAGCTGCACTCACGGCGATTGACGGCCGACTTCACACCCAATGCCACTAGGACTTGAACATACACTGTGTGTGTGACCCTTGAAATCACAGGGCTTATTTTTGGAATGTACTGCTTGCTTTTTACTTCGGTTGACAGCAGGGGGCAGGAGCACCATTGCAAGTCTCCTGCCAACGAAGACACTTGCAACTGGTGCTGATACCAGACCTGATCAATCTGGCGTACCTGGAGTTTTACCAGAGTCAATTCCTCGTGGGCCCTGCTTGTAGCTAGAACAAGACGTCCAGCCTTTGCATCGGTTTGTCATCGGCAGATGTGCATTGTCGCTTTGGATGTGCCGATTTGAAGTTGGAGGCCGTGCAGGCTTTGAGGAAATTTGGATCACCGTATTTACACCTGTCCTGGTTTCTTAGGTTTGTCACTTAGGCTGGCGTGTGGCACCGCATTCACATCAGTAGGCACTTCTATAAGTGTGTCTCTCCTAGTGAGTGTCCAAGGAGTTTACACGGCATAATTCACCTGTTGTTCTCGGCCCTTTGTAAGGCCCGTTTCCAGGTCCAGGTCGTTTCTGCAGTAAAGTGCTAATGCATCCGTGATCCAGCAACTGATCCAGCTCTTGCGAGCAACGTTCTAAGTGTGCTTGAGTTTCATTGAGTTTCTGTTTGTTCAATTTTTTCGTCCGAATCATAGTTCTGTTGAGTTGTGGTGCTTTGGTTTGGGATGGCTTCGGGCACATGGCTGAGACTCTTTGTTGTTTAAGAGGCAGTCCTGTCAGTGCAGTTTTGCAGCATTTTTGCAATGTATGCAACCTAAGCAGTTGCAAGTGCACTTCTGAAGGCCTCGGCTAACGCAAGTTATGCTGAAACAAGAAACGAGAACTCCTCGGAGGTCTTGGGCTGGCCGGGGTCGGGGCTAAAAACCCAAGAGCCAAACCAGGCAAACATGTGCTCAAACCAAACAATAACCTTTTCGGAAGTTTGCTCCAGGAAAGTTCAGTCGAGACTTCGAAAACTATAAAACCAAGAAAACTATCTATACAGACTCTCTGGGGACCAGGCCGGGACCTCTCAGGAATTGTTTTTGATGTTCAATGCTGTTTGTTGTTTTTATTGTTGTTGTTGCTATGGAAGCCATCCCTTCCCAAGAAACAGCAGCTCTTTAAAGGTATTGTCACGTGAACTTGCTGTTTTCTGATGACGAGGGCCCAAAAAACCTTGACTATTGTTTTGTCAACAACCCTGTGCACCTTGCATTCTTGACTAGCAATCTCGAGTTGCTATGTCTTGGGATGTTTTGGGTTTGCCGCATTGCCAGTAACAATCGTAAACGATTGTCATCGTCTACTGTTACTGGTAATGGAATGGGTCCAAGCTAGTCCCTTGTCATTAGCTTGTCCTGTACTCAATTGATTTGTTTCAGGCTCATTTAGCTGCTCCTGTTGCTGATGGCACCCAACAGTATCCTCGAAGTGTGCTCCAATATATTGCAAACCAACAATCTTGAAATAGTTGCTCAAGTGCTTAATTACTGCTACCTTTGATTATATAATTAATATATACAGATTTAGTTTGCATCGGTTTCTCTTATTTAGCCCCCTCCTTGTTGAATTGGTTTGCCTGTTTTCCTCCATTTCTTTCTGTATATGTTTTTCACGTTTAAAAACTCAGGTTTCTTGGTCGAAAAAGGCCCCAGCTAAAGCTGAAATCTTGCGATTTTCTATACAGTTTTGGATACACACGCCCCAGCACCTTCGGTGCGGGCGGATTGTATTCAACAAATATTTGTTCCCATCTTATCCAGAATCTCTTCCATAATACAAAGCGATTGTTCTTTTTACCATCCTCATCCTTGAAAGGACCTTGACCAGATGAATGCGTATATACATATGAGCACAGTGTCCTCCATTAAGGAATCTTCACAAAGGATTGCTCCTTTGTAAGGATCAACCTTTGGAAGTTCCACAACCAACAACTTGTCCAAGAAGAACCGTTGATTAAGTAAACAGGTATATTTGGCTATCATTAAAGAACACTACATCATGACATACATTGCAATGATAGCGGCCAATCAACCTTCTTGTCTCTGGAAAAGCCACTGCTTAAGCAAAAGGCTAACAAAAATTTAAGAGCATACGTTGTGACCAAAATCATTTCAATACGAAATGGTGCAAATTGCGATGATAGCGGCCAAGCAATCAAGCCTTTTGTCTCTTGTCTAGCTCCTTATTATTGTATTTCATTTGTATGCAATGTTTCTTGGAATCTAATTGTAGAGATAGATAGATAGATAGATAGCTAAGCCAGAAATAAGCATTTGCTTCTCTAAAATTTAAAAGAATGCCTCTTGAGACTACGTAAATAACGGCAGTTGATGAAGGTTTTGGGACACACAATTTTTGTGAGGCGTTCTTGAAAAGTTAAACAAAAAAAGAAAGTTGTACCTGTTCTATATTTGGTCAAAAATTGCCAGGTAGAACCGGCATTAACAAACACCAGCGGTTTCATGGTACGGCTCTAGCTGGCTAGGGGTTCGTATTAGCCAGGTAGAACCAGGACGATGGGAATCTATGTATTCTGTTATGGCGCTCAGAACATTTTTTTGCACTCAGAACATCTTTTGAGCAGCAGTTTGGATCTAGACACCACCAGTGCTGGCAACGATGCTATAACGCTACAGATGCCGCAACATTACCACAAACATTTCTCCCGGCCTGGGCAGAGCCGCGTAGCGGCGCGAATATCTAATCCAACTTGGAAACAGGTCCTTATGAAGAAGGGAGAGGAATTGTGCTTTTCAAGAGGCCGATCCTCAAACTTGTTTCATATTTGGCTGGATTTGCTTTAGGTAGATTTCAGGAACCTTATATAGTATAAGACTTTACATTTGTCAGATGACAAAATGCAACATCAAACGTGCCAAAAACAAAGGCGCACTGCCACAACTGCCAGCTCTCTATTTTACCGTATTCATTATATATACCGGGAGTTTTTGTTCAGACGAGCCTCATGTAAGGCCCATCTTGGAGCTCTAGTTGCCTTGAGAGATTTGGGCGTTCAGGGTTGCAAGGCCGGCATTTCAGTCAGATTCTGCGGTGCTTGTTAGAAGCTGGCCAGCTCATGCCAGCTCTTTCCTGCTGCAAGCAAGTGACAGCGTGCTCCTTTCGGGTAGGACTTTTTGCTGAAGAAGTGCCATGGAGACCCAGAGCAGCTTCCAAATCCTCGCCTTGCGCGACAAGAGGCTTCTTGGAAGTTGCACAAAGTGGATACTGGCAGTTACGCCAGCATAGACCCCAGATAGCAAAAGATTTGTGGGCAAAGGTCACTTTGCAGGGTCACTTTGCAGCACCCTCCAGCGGTGCCAGCGCCCGGGCTTCAAAGCGCACAGGGCCACAAACATGTTGCAGCAGCACTCTCGAGGGGCACCCTGCAGCGGCACCAGAGCACCCAAGCGCACACAGCAGCGGCACCAGCACCCAAGCTTGAAAATGCACATATGCAGCTCTTCCTACACTTGAAGTAAAAAACCCGATAGTTCAAGCTATCTGGAGAAAAGACCTTACATTCGATTATATACACTTGGAGCTGCAGGTTTTCCAAAAAGAAGGATTCTCCGTCTTGCATACGGTCAGAAACTCTGGGCACCGCACTTTGTGCCTAGTGAGGCCGCGCCCCTTCGCCGCTGCATTGCCTCCGGGATTTTGCCGCCTGCTTGCGCTGCCTTACCTGCTGTGGAGTGGCATGGCCACCAAGGAGGGAGCGAATAGGTTGGGCATGGCTTGGTGAGTTTCAAGTTTCATCAATCATATAAAGGCTGACGTCTCTGTAGTCATTTTTGCGTTTTTTGTTGTGCTCTTTGTTTTCAAGGTATGCAAAACTCCGGATGGCAATCCAGCTCAATGGGTTTAGGCGCGCGTCTCTGGTGAGTGTTGATGTAATTTTAGGCCTCGCTATTTGATCTCCCTGCTCAGGTTCAATTTCAATGCCCAAGAGGGCGACTTCGGCTATGACACAGGAGAGGTTCTCTTCGACAAGATCAGTTTGGAACCTTAGAGCCGAACGTGGCACTCCTTTGTTTTTGTTGGCACCCCACGGCACAGCGAAAGGTGTCATTCAAAGCAGTTTGTCCAGGGCAGGTGATAGTTTGGCGCAAGTCGGTTTGCCTTTTGCAGTTCGTGTCGCAATCTGTCTCGCACAGCTCAGCAACCTTTCAGGTTGCGACTTGTGGGATCTTGCGGGATCAACTCTCCGGTGGGAGTCCAGCTTAAACCCTGATCAAACTTGTTTCAGGAATGAAGCCCAAACTTCTGTGCCGCTATGGCACCCAAAAAAGGCTGCGATGAGAGAGAGAGAGAGGGAAGGAGGGAGGGAGGGAGGGAGAGGGAGAAATGACACTGTAGGAAAAACATGGCGGAACTATGCTCAATCAACTTGCGTGGTGATACAGTCGATGTCGGGCTGCCATCAGCTGAATGATTTCCGCGATTGATTCATACCAGGGGGCCAACTCGAGCAAGCAAGGCCTTTATTCCTAGGTCAGGCTGCACGGGACGTCAAAATTACTTTTTGCCAAGGTCGCTTGAACCACTCCTGCACTCCAAATCTTGACTTCAACCTCTCGTGGGACGCAGACAATGAAACAGTGGTGTCCCTTGGAGCGAGGGTGAAAGTCTGAGACGTCTTAGTAGTTTCTTGCTCGTAGTAGTAAGGCCAGGAGCCCCTAGTAGCGTCCTTGCTCCTAGTAGCGGTGCCCTTTGCTCCTAGTAGCGTTCACTTCTGTTTCCCATGGGAACTGATAAGTTTGTGCTTGTTGAGACACGTGCGCCACATGTGGGTTTCAAAACTCCAGGAACACCATCACAGCGTCCACGCCAATCCGCACAAATGAGGAGCTGCGCGTTGAAGTTGAAGCAAAGAGATTGGTTAGGGCACTGAATTTGACGGGGATATTTGGTTCCTGAAGAGTTTGATGATAGGATTTGGTTTCTTGTGTGAACACACGGACTCGTGGTAACTTATGAGTCCACATTCGCTTGGCTGCAGGAACTCAATATCTCCTACTTGCCCTTGCGCTTGAAACTTCCCGTCGAGGCACGTTTGTCGTTCAACTTTCATCCCTTGCCACCTTGTCAGGACCTTGTCAGAAGATGTCAGAAGTATTCCGAAATTGCTCCTCAGATACATCAAGGAATCAAGGCAGCTCAGGTGGCCTTGTTTTTTGACAGGAGCGCCGGGCGCAGCTGCTGAAGCATTGGGGTCACGTGCTGGGCTTTCATTCAACTATATATATATAACATTATATAACTATATAATACTATATATATACTTGAAGCTAAACAACCTTCCGATTGACCTGAACCAACTGCTTCGTTCACACTGCAGTCACCGAAGCTGAGGCTTTCATTGTCGTTGCTCTCGCTGCTTGCTAGAAGGTGGAGCTCCATGTGTGGCAACACCCGCAGTTTCTCGAATCCCTCACAGGTGCGGGCACAAGCGTTTGCTTGCAAGGATGTAAGTGACTTTAAGAGCCCTGTGTTGTGTCGAACCCGTGTTGCGAACCCTGCCTACTGAGCTTGTTTGGTGTTTCTTTATGCATAGGCTGTCGGCGCTTGGAGGCTTAGAGGGAAGCATGCAGTCTCCAAGGTCAGATACCCGCAGCGAGGGCAGTGATAGCGAAGGAATTTGCTGGGAGGATTTGTGACGCTTGGCATTTGCCCACAAGACAGGCATCAAGACACGTTTTTGGTCCATGCATATGTTAGACATTTGTGGCTGAATTGGTGCCACTCGCAAAATTGAGAGTGGTACTGTAGGATCCTGATGCCTTGCCCCATTTGAACGTCCGAGGTGATCCTGATGCAACAGACACGAAATGCTGAAGGAGCTTCATCCAGTGGCCGCATCTAGTGAGACAACGACTTGCGGAATGATCGCGTATATGATTAATGATTAACTCGCATTATATTTACATAATTATATTCTGTGATATGTCTATATATATATATACTTGTGTATTTTGAGTGGAGCTACGCACAAGTGTTGCCACGAAATGCACTCGGCACAAGAAAGATGGAAGAGGCACTTGCTTCTCGACCGGATGGAAGAGGCATTTGGACTCGGAGGCTGGGCTTCGAGCAAGTCTCAGTGTGCACTCCTGCAGTGTTCAGCTTTTGAGTTTGCTTCACGAATGATGGCATCACTTGGCCAAAACAAACTACAGCAACAAGCTGCAGATCATGTTGCAGCACTGAAAGTAGCCTGGACATTTGTGCACTGTGCCTGCTTCTACCGAAAAGCAGGCGTCACGCATTGTGGAAGACAGCGGAAGAGAAGGAGGGCTTTCAGATTCTGAGTTTGCCATAGACAAGACCTACACACTATATATACTGTTCTTTATCGAGGTTCTCTACCCCTACTCCTATCGTGCTTCACAGCGCGGCGAATGGAAAGAAGTTCTTTCCCCGCCTGCCAGCTGAGGGTTGTCAGATTTTGTCAGAGCTGTCCTCTCCTCGCCCGCCTCCTCTCTTCGCCTCATCCTCCACAAGTACCAGATTGCAGTGGCCACCACCGGACCTCAACCATGAGCACGATAGATTGCCAGAAGATACACTAGATAGAATGCCTGATCATATGGCAGATAGAATGCCAGAATGTATGATAGCTAGCACGCCAGAAAACATGCAAGATTATGCAAGTGTTTATGCAAGATAGACAATTTTTTGGTGATGTATGTTGAAACAATGTTGGCGTCGGCTATCAGCAGAGCATAACGACAAATGGTGGGATCACTTGAAGTAAAGTAATTGCAGATTTGGGAAGAAGACATGCTAAGCATGTGCTGAGATGTAGTGGGTCATGGCGGTTGGTCACCTTAGGACATCGTCCACTTGCTCATTCGAACCGCTAGGCCAGGCCCGAAGCTTGCAGTTCGTTGCGCACGTTTCAGCTGAGCACACCTTCAGGGCACAACTGACCAGGAGTAATGAGGAGAAGCGCAAAGAAGACGAGGGCCACTAGACTCTCGCAGGAAGCAACACGTGGAAAAAGTGATTTGAGCGAGTTGAGGTCAATGCATTTTCTTTGTTCTGTGTGAATTATGTTTTTTTGTTCGCTACACGCTTCTTTGTCCTAGATTCATGAATCGGTCTTGGCAAGCCAAAGCCCCAACTGGGCAAAGGGAATTTCCAGTAAAAGTATGATAAGGCATCCAAGGCCTGGAAAAGGAGGCGTACAATAGCGCTGTCGCGCAGTCCTGTTCACAGAGTTCTAAACAAGCCTTTGTCCAAACCTCCTATTGTATTTTTTCATGTCGAAGGTTTGGAGTTTGAAAAATGGCCTTGCTCGCATTTTCTCAGGGTGGAAAGTGGCCTTTCTGGCTATCACCACGGCAGTGCATGGTCATCCCAGTGTCGGATGATGCGTTTGAGCAGTTTCCTCGGGAACCTGGAACAACAACTCAGTGACAAAAAGAAAAAGGCATGACAAATTGCAATTGCACCGCACCCAGCACACGCAATTGCACCGCACCCGGCACACGCTATTGCAAGCTGCAATGACTTGTCCAGCTGGATTTTTTGGTGACCTTTCAGCTTACGGCCTCCTAGGTATGCAACGTATGTCAAGGAAACGCTACATGCTCGCGGTTTCCATGTTTGAACCTGAGTTTTCCAAGTGTGTCCACCGGACATCTCCACCGGATGTTCAGATTGCCATCATTTGCTGCTATTTTGAGGTCGAAGCCAATCTTGGTTGCTGTCTCAGCTTTGTTTTTTGTGTTTGAGGCTTCCTGGAAAGCTCTCAAATTCATCGCATTGGAATTATTGTTTTAGACAACAGGGCCGGGGCCCGTGGTCCAAAGGAGAAACCCTCAGCTCCAATCAGGCGATGGAACCCTCAACAAGAAGGTCCGCGAGGCTCAGGCGTACTCATTCACAGCACTCTTGACCTCAGTCAACTTCACAAGCTTGCGACAGTCAATCTCCTGTCCGCTAGCCGCTATCCATCCAGGTTGCACAGTTCAACTACATTTTAGTGGTAGGCGAGCTACGCCAGCAAGCTGCTTTTCTGGAAGTTTGAGTTGCCATTTGCATCTTGTCCGACTTGTCCCTGGTTTGAACTGCCCCTGTTTTGGGAGGCAAGGATGAAGAGGAACAGTTGGCTGTGAACGTCCGTGTGCGTGGACAGTCAGCGCGCTCAGGGGAGTGCATCGCTTGCATAAGGGGGGTTCGTGTCACCAAATTGCACTTAAAGCGCGGAAAACCAAGATCAGGCAAAGGATAGTTTGGACCGAGTTGGAGAACCTGCATGGTGCCACACAAGATTGCTCACAATTGGTGGTATGGACTCCAAAGATACAACTTTCCAAGTTCGTAAGCGGAGAACTGAATCTCTTTTCAATTTGCAAATGATTTGTTTGTATTCCATGGTTGTCAAGGAAAAGGCCTTTGGGCACCAAAGGGCTGCAGGAATTCCTGGAAGAACTCGAGGAGCCCAAAACTGCGTGTTCTAGACGCAGGGGTGTCGTTCTTGTCGTTTAAAATCGAATCCTAAAAAGAGTCCTATCTATATATAAGAATTCTAACAGAAGTACGAATCCTTTCCTCGATAGCAAATTCCTAAATGCCAAAAGAATACTCGTCACTCCAAATGCGCTTCTTGGCTCAGCAGCGAAGAGCAGCTCGCTACTTCCCCAGCTTTGAGAGATGATGCGCATCGCCAGGGTGCCCAAAGGCTTATGCTTTGCATTAGTGCTTTGCATTGTTTCTCAGCCCCTAGGTGAAGCTCTTGATGTTGATGGCTATGCCTTGCTTTGCCGTGACTTGGGCCTTGGCCTCATTTTCGCGCTGATGGACGGTGTGAGTGTGTGTGTGTGTGTGCGCGCTTGTTCCTCCAAACCGTGTAAGACTTCAGCGGAAATATGAAGAGGAAACTAGGTTGGTTTGATTCAAAGCCGTGTAGCCAACGTGCAAGGTGAAGGGTGCAGCGGGGCAGAACTGCGACACAACTTGCGCATCTCGCTCTGGCTGCAGCGAGGATGATTGGCCCAGCAGTGAAGAACAGTTCAAGGACGGCACCTCAGGGAGACCTTTGCGCCTAGTGGCATCTAGTCGGGGTTGGCATGGACAATTTTAAATCTGATGATGTTTGAACTTCAAAGTGCTTCTTCTAGATGTGCGCCTGAAGGGGCCACTCAGCCACTCAAAATGTCAAGGAGGTTGCTGCTCAAGCAGGTCAAAGCTGTGAGACTACACAAGCTGGTGGTGCCAAGCCGCTTGATTTCATAGCGCTATAAATCAAAACGATGTGCGAAGGAAGTAGATGAGTTTGATGAGGTGGGTGGGAAATGGGGTGATGTCCTGTGCTTTGAAGCTGTCAAACTGATTATCGTGGACGTGCAAGGTGACATCAAAATAACTCATTTGATTTGAGGTACGATCCCAGCACAGATGGCCACCATTGCGGCTGGGCGGGTCCCGACCACAACGAGGGAGAGAGCCGTTGCGGCGCATCTGGAGATAGTGGCACCTACCGAAGCTCGACTGAACTCGTGGAGCGCAGTTTGGATTTCCGGGAACAAGAGCCAAACAAATCAGTACTTTCAAAAAGGTAGGGAGGCAGACTCAATTCCAGAGACAGAAGCCATCGCAATGCCAGAGAGCTGAGGATTTTGCCCATGCAACTCTGACAGGGAGTTGTGAGTTGAGACGCAGATGTCGTCCAGCAGAAATGGTATCTTGTTGCACTCTGAAAGCAGCGATTCGAAGCAAGCAAGATCCTTTTGAGTATTCGAACAATATTATATGTACAATGTACAGGTCAGTGCGCCCATTTTAAATGGCCTTGAACACCCGTGGGATTGCATTCTATTCTTTGTGTATTTGTATGTTATTTTACCGATGATATGTCTTGCTTTTGCTTCCAAAAGAGTGAGAGCGTATAAAACACCTCAGCCGCAGGTCACCTGTGGTAGCTCCCACTAGCGATCGGTGGGTTTCCCCATCGTACAGCGCTGGCGCTTCCAGTTTCCCTTGAGGTCAAGCATCACCACACAACTACATACATTGCACATGTCAACTCATCACGACTGGGAGCGCAGGGGAGGTAGAAACCAAGCCATCAGCGAGGATAAAGAGTTGGAGGTCTTCATGTTGTGGGTCCGTTGGGCTTGTAAACTCCAACAGTTCACAAATGTTCTACTTGACTGCGTTCGACCCTGATAAAGCTCACGCTCACCAGGAGGAAAACTCTCCGCGCGCCCTGAAGCAGCCGAAGGACAGAAGATGGCAACTCCATGCAATTCTGTTCGTGTTTGTTGGCTTCTTTGAGCTCTCTCACAAAAGGATTCTCCTGCGCATGTCTGCGCATTGTTCCCTCCAATGATGTTTGGGCTGTGGGGTTAGCAGGGTCATGAAGCTAGGTGAGAGGATGCGCTTTGCCAAAGTCGTACTTTTGACTTCAGGAGCTTGTGCCCTTTAGCCGGAAATCGGAACAAAGCTTGCCACCCATTGTAAATTCAGCATGATATGTTCACGCCACCCTGAGATTGCACCGCGTTTGCGCTGTTTGCGCAAGTGGTTTTCCTGTTCGCTTTCACTCGATACTGTCCATACTTGCGAGTTGGCAGATGAAGCGGGATTGTTGATTTGTTGCTTCCATTGCACTCACTTTTGCCCCAGCAACTATGGGCAGATTTGGCGCTGCGTTTTCAGCCGCGGCATTATGAGAGTCACAGCACAACAGCACAGACTATTTCGTTGAATGAGGCGCAACTGGTGCCTACAGCAATTACTATTGATTGTTTGTCCTGGGATGTGCTTGTTTGTAGCTGCAGCTCAGATTTTCCGAGGCTCATGCAGATAGAGTTGCAGCTGTGTCGGAAAAACGGTCTGTTTGGCTCACCTGCCAATCTCAGATCCATCTGAGGAGGAGGGGTTGGAATGACTTTGGTTTCGACTTGGTTTGGAGTAGTTACTGCTCCGAACCGCACTGGTCGCCTCCCTTGGCTGCAGCTCCGTGACAACGTAGCGGCGTGGGGGCGAGGGTCACTGATAGGGTGAGTCTTGAATCTTGACAAGTGATATAATGAACTGTAAGCTTAAAGAGCTGTAAGACAATGAATTGCTTTGACAAATGGCAGCGGCAAGTTGAAGTTGCGTTTGGTGGTGATTTGGCCAGCCCTCAAGCACAACCCATTTGGTCGGACCCTTACACAGTTGGCACCGATGTGGACCTGTGGGAAGAAACCTTGCGTTGCTTGACTCGTGTGGGCTTAGCAAAGTACTTCATGTTGCCTCAGCCTCGCATGTGCAATATCTTGCACATACTGGGCAGGCATTGCGGCATGTCCCCGGCAAAAGTGCATCACATTCGTATGTTCGCATATTGTTTTTTCCACAGCGTGCGTCAAGGCATATGAACGCAGAAACGAAATAGTCTGGACAAAACATTGCCATTGAGCAATTCCTTTGTTGAACTGGAGGTCGCCATGGCCTGCAGCTAAGCCTGACAAGCAAGGCTGTTTGTGTTCACAACCCTCGAGCGAACACTTAGCAGAGGGCACTTGTCATTCTTGGGATCCAAGGTCATTCCCATGGGTCCAGGCATGCTGGCACTATGCTCAGCAAGTTTGGGAAAGATGGGAAAGGCACAGAAAGGCCATGAAATGCCCAAGAAAATTATCAGAAAGGTATTATAGCGGGGATCCCCTACTTGGTGCAACAAGCGACCGTGAACGGCTTTTCACACCTTACTCATCAGATCTCATCAGAATCCCTATCTAGTTATTGTGGCCCGGTGCCCCCTGACTCAATGGCTCTAGTTCAGGACACGCAGAGATATTCACTAAATTCAATGCGCTCTTCTTCGTGCCCTTTGCAGAACTTGTTCTGTGCAGGCTAATGACGAAATGTTCCACACCATATGAAGCCAAACGTTACCTCCCACATCCAATCTAGCACCCTAGTTACATCTAGTTACTAGTTGAGATGACTTTCTGACAAACCAAGCATTCCCAGGCACAAGGAGTGGTGCCTGATGTTCTGAGGGAGAAGTATGCCAAGTTGTGGACCATTCCTTAGTGCTACACGTCGGCACCAAATGGCGTGCCTGCTTGGGGCATTTGCTTAGTCGGTTTTCTTGTAGTTTCTATAATAGTTATGCTTTCCAAGTTGCTCAGGTGGACACTAGGCGGCCTTTGTCTTGTCATTGCAGTCCTCTTCTCGGTGAAGCCATGCCTGCAAGCGATGTCAAGAGTGAGGGGGGAGAGGGGAGAGAGAGTGAGGGAGGGAGAGAGAGAGAGAGAGAGAGAGTGAGAGAGTGAGCGAGAGAGAGAGAGTGAGAGAGTGAGGTGAGTGAGGTGAGTGAGGTGAGTGAGGTGAGTGAGTTGAGTGAGTTGAGTTGAGTGAGTGAGTGAGTGAGTGAGTGAGTGAGCCAGTGAGTGAGTGAGCCAGTGAGTGAGTGAGC